AGGAGAAAAACATATCCGAGACATTTTCAATAGGGAGCATGCCAAGAAATTCATACATATCCAGAAACCAAAAACTCATTTTCATCGTCTTCCAAGAGGCATTGGCTTGGAGGCAATATCCACACCCTCAAAACGAACGACCAACTGTGAACACACTCTTTCAGAGAAAGCCAATCAACAATACATACACAACATTAAGTCAATTCTGAGCGGCTGACATCTAGCTAAGTGGACAGAGGGAGTTTTATTTAAAAACTTATCTTCCGCATAAATCCTTCTAATGTTTTTCCCATGTTTGATTGACACTTGAGGAACTCAAAACCAAATAGCAATGCTGACAGTGACCCCAAAGAGGTCCGGTTGACAAATATTCCACCAAACTCTCACATCGTCAATCTTGGTCTCCAAACTTGGATCAGATAAGTTTTTGGACGTGGTTCCCTGCCCAGCGGCAATAAACTCCACAAAGGGTACGATGCAAATCACCCCAACAACGAGTCTCGTCGGTTACTCGACCAAAGTGTCAGTCCAACTAAACAATCGAGACCTGGAAAAGTATAAGATGTGAGACAGACGTTGATATCATAAAAGTCGAAAGCGATGCCATAGACGTACGATCAGTAGAAAATAATGACGATCGAAAACAACTTTATATACGTCTGATTGACTTTCTATCATAAAACTCGGCCTTCAATGCCAAGCATAAAAAAAAACCCATCTCAAAGCTCAACGTGGATAAATCCCTGGAGGTGGTTCCATGCCCCGTAGCAATAGGCTTCGCAAATGGTATGTCATTAATCACCCCAGCAACAAGTCTCATCAGTTAACCAACCTAGGCGTCAATCCGATTGAGTGTATGATATAGGTAGTGTAAGACTTTTGTCGAGCTGTGACATATCAGAAACAACCGAAGTTATTTCCAAAAATGCAAGTCATCAATCATTACCAACATTCATCACGAAATAATTACTGCCAAAAAATAATGTGTTAAAGGCAAAATAAAAAATAGAAAAATATGTAAAACCGACTGAGAAGCTTCATTCATATCTAAATGTAAAAGATGTTCAAGTTTCTTACAAAAGATTTCATTTACACAAATATCTTTACAAAAGTTTTTCTAGAAAATTTGCTTAAGTTTGAGGAGGTTGATTGGAGGACCCTTCATCGCCTCCGACATTCGAGTCATCCCACGAGGATCCCTTAGAGCTGGTATATAAAGCAGCAAACTCGTCTAAGTTTAAAAACTTCATATAATAAGGCACAACCGAATGAACCAGTTGATCGTTGTGATGATGTCGACTCGAAGTTGCTCACTAAGTATATTTTCTGTCGCGGATGGGTTGAAAGAGCCTCGAAAAATTCCTCCTCGGGTTTTTGGTCTCAATATTTGACTTTTGTTCTTGGTTTTCTTGTTGGGCGATCGAAAAGAAAATCCAACAGGATAACAATCTACTCCTTCGCCATTTCTAGCCTTTGTTTGGCTATCACTGCTTGTTTCTCACCCTTGTTATTGAGCATGGTCGAGGTATCAATCCTTTCTGAGGCAATGGCCCATTTCATCTCCACTCGGTCAAGCGCCACCGACTAGAGGTAGAAAGCCTCCCATGCCTTGAGATGATAGCGACCGGTCTTCTATTAGAGCTCTAGACGCTCAAGTGTCCAGAGGGACATTGCAAAAGCTCATTACCATATCACTTCAACAAATGCAGATGAGTAGACTTTGGCCGACAGTGAATCATCATACCAATCCACCTCCTGATCAATGACAGTGTACCAACTGTCAAAAGAATTCCAAATCTTTGCCCCCTTAACCTCAAAGGAAATCTAGCCAACAGGGAAACCCTTCCTCCTTTTTCGATAAGAGGGAGGAGGTGGAGTCGTCTCAGGAACTCATTCATTCCCTTCCCTATGACGCACCTTCTGAGACGCCGCCTCTGGGTTTTTCTCTAATTCAGTATGGGTGGTAGAAGACGGCTGAATGGCCTCACTTTGTGCAGATAGTCTAATCAATGTAGCATGTGAGTGAGGTGAGGCCGACTGTTCTCTTGCCCCTTCCTTAAAGGACTCTTCCTCAGCCTTGCTCTCTTTAGAGCAACTGATTGACTCTCCAGATTCTCATGGAACAGTGTGCAGGAAGTAGTTGCACCCAACATATATTTTTTAAACTAAACCGAGGGTCTACCTTCTATGATTGTTAGTTCATTAGTGAAAATTTGACGGATCACCACCGTAGTTGCAAATATATATATATA